ATCTATTATATAATTATATCTATATAATGTTGTAAAATATTTATATTTTATACATTATTTATATTGGAATCGTTTCGTTCTCACATTTACATACATTCGTATTGTTTTTAAATCTTTTATGGATTGTCATTACATAATTCGAGAGATAAAAAATATTGATATAAAATCTATTAAAGAAACTATTGATATAAAAAAAATATTGATATAAAATCTATTATCAAACTAAAATCTTGGCGTTCTGATGCATCGATGCGAATTCCGATGATGTTACGTAATTCGAAACAATTTTGTATCGATGTTTTTACCTCATTGTCGTCGCAAGTTTTTTCACTCGCTTCGAATTGAAACGGCATAACGTCGATTTCTGATGATAAATCGATTAGAATGGATCTTTAATAGTTTGTAAATATTCTCCCACTCTTCTGCAACAATTCTCTGGTTGACTAATCCTTGCAAAGACGCATGTATCTAAGGTAAACGACAGTTTGTTACTTAGAAACGCTGCGAAGATCGATCGATGGAGGCAAGAATAAATATTTGTGAATAAGTTAATAGAAATTTTAGCAGAGAAGCTTAAACACAAGTTGAGAAAATAAAATTAGGTCAGATTTGTTCAACACTGTAGAAATGAATAAGTAAAAAAAAAAAAAATACAAGAAATGCAAAAATATACAATTCCCAAATTATAATACATAATTAATTAATTGCATTACAAAAAGTTCAAAATTTATTTAAAAACTTATTTAAAAGTATTGAAAAATATATTAAAGGCCATTTATTTAAAAATATATATATTTTGGAAAAAATACATTCTTTTGAAAATGTGGAATTTTTTTTAGTTGTTTTTTTCTCTACTTTCTTTTACAATCTTATAGAACTTCTTAATCATTTTATTACGCACGATTTCGTGAATAACTTTATGTTTTATTATAAGGATACAATGTTACATTACAGATAGACGTATTTAATAATTGTTTTTATTTAATTGTACATTGTATTTAATATTTTTAATATTTCCACCAGCGCAATTTTCTTGATTACGAGCTTCAGAAAACGTCGCGTTTTCATTATATTTAACAATTCCTTTTCTTCCTACTAACATCTCAAATTTTTGCGTAAAATGCATGCCAGAAATGCGTTGCCAAAGTCAAGAGAATATATATATATATATATATAAGCTTGCTTCAAAAAAGATTTGTGGACGCGATGTGAAAAGCTTCTCAGATTCTTTAAAATCCAAAGATTTACAGATATTTTCAACGAACTCTAATAACGTTTCATCGTTTCGAGAGATCGATCCTCAAGGACGCAAACATGAAAATACATTCTAGAGGATCGTATAAAGCGTACCTTTTGATTTTACGCCACTTTTTGATCCGTTATCGCTTATAATAGTGCGGTGAAAATACGCTCTCTAAAATATACTGGTATTACATTTATCGATACATCAATTCCATTCACAAATCCTAAAGTGGACACGACGAATCGGTCGTTATTTTCCAAATTTCAACGAGCAAGACCACAAGAGAAAGACACAGTTTCGAATAATTATTAAACTAAAGTATCACTAGCTTTAGAAATAATACACGTATGTACATATATTCATTACTTGTTCATTCATTAATTATAATCTATAATCTTTGTAATCATCTTTCTTTCGCCTACATTACGTGAATACTTATAAAATTACTTGCAAAAGTATTGCAAAAGTATTCGTTAATTAAAACGTCGTTAATCTTCAAATAAGTTTTGAAAACTTATTAGATTGAAGTATCTAAAATTTCGGATAAATAAATTAGAAATGTTTACGCAGAACGCAGTGTTTAACAATTGTGGATAAATGAGTTACATAAGCTCTTAAAAACTTAAAAATAAATCATTTTAATGTCATACTTCTGCCTCGATCCGAAGAGATTTGCATTCAACAATTCTTTCGCGTTTCTGCAGAATCGACGATAGATGTATCTTCGTGAGGTAGGCGTCTAAAACTTTTCGCACCATTGGCCTTTTGATGAGAGTTTCCGGTAAGAGCAGCTGCTGGATCGTCCTCGAAGACGTCGAACGTGTAAAGCGCGAACCTTCATTATGACGTATTGCTTTCCTTTTAAACGACATAATCAACACAATTAAATATCGTTCTATTACTATCATTCATTGAATGCTAAGGAGGATAAAACGATGCTTGTGCTAAGTGTGTTCTCTAAAAGGAAAGCAGCCTATGTGAAGCAAAGCGATGAAGCTCTAAGACAGCATCTCCACTTCCGCTTGAATGTTCTGGCGTGCCTGCTCCTCCAGCTTGTCACGAAACTCCACGGTGGCGAAGATGTTCGGGATCTGCAGGAAGTTCTGTAACACCTGAAAGACGCAAGAACGTGAAAGAATGACACGAATGTAATCACTCTGTTTTACTTATTTTATTTGCGTTAAGTTCTTTTCTATTTCACAAATAATATATCTACATAAAGGTAAGAAAAAGAGAAAAAGTAACATGTGACAATTCTGTCCTCGATTAACATACTTCTCTTCAAAAACTAAGAAACGTCTTTTAGATAATATCTTCTAGATAATTTTGAAGAATACTTGAGCCTTCTTTTTATAAAATCTAACGGAATAAGCTTTAATAATTAATCTCAGAAACAGTAATTATTTATTTGTATATTATAATTTATTATACTAATTGTTTAATTAATACAATAATTACAATAATTATTAAAGTTTGTTTTATTGAATTATTAACTCTTTGTAAAAGAAGATTAAAGTATATTCTAATCATTATTATAATAATTGAAATTAATTGTTATAACAATAATAATAATTATTATTATACTGAGACAATTTTCGTATTTTTTTTAAGTTCATCGAGAGATTATATTTCTGCCGTTCATATTTTAAGGTTGAACAGGATGACTCACCTTTAGCCGTAGCGCTGTATACATGGGCTCGCTGAGGAAAGAGTATTCCCCGCGTATTCGCTCTCTGTACTCGGCGTAACTTTCTGGAGAGGAGCCGAGTACTGCCATATCCAGGTCCAGGAAGTAGTGTGCATCTTCGCTGCCGAAGGCACCGCCTACCTTGTGCGCCTCGGTGCTGTGAGTCGCCGCTACTTTGAGCAGAGCACAAGTCTCTTCCCTGAGCTCTGCGTCCTGAAAGATAAAATTAGCCAGATCACTTTTGTGAATTCAATCAACGGATTTTGGGTATTCATCTTTTTTATCTCATTTTTTTATTTGCATTTTATTCTCTTTTTTTAGCATGTTGACACTCTTCTTTTGCATAATTCACGAAATAATCGATACTATAATTTCATGATAAGTGAAGTAAGTTCATTTTTTTTGTCTCATCTCTATTCGATTCCAAAATCTAACAAAATCTTAACAAAATTAAAATTTTTTTAATTCTAGTTTTTAATATTTTAACTCTTTCTTTGTGTATAATTTATATTTCATGATTAAAATTTCATGATGAGTCTTTATTTTCTTTTACGTCATTTTTGTTGATTCTAAAATATTAGATGTGGGAAAAAGTTCGTGGCGTTTTTTAATGCCATCTAACGGGAAAAACGCCACGAACTTTTTCCCACACCTAATATTAATAATTAAATCTTGAAACGATTATAATTAAAATTCTTTTTACTTTTGTTCTATTTTTCAATATTTTATGGTGATGATCATGTTTAAAACTTGTAAAAAATTAACCATAGTTCAGATTGTTTACTAACCGACGGAACCTCGGCCTCATCAGCAAAAGCATTGAAGTGCTCGAGATTTTTATCTTCGCTAAAAACCAAAGCTTTAGGATCATACTCGAAGCTGCAACAGGAGATTTAAGTCAGTCATTGTCGATGAAAGAGCGACAATATAATAATTCAATTAAATAATAAAAATAAAATATGAAGTAACAGAACTCTTAATGAACTCTTTAAAATCCAACAACGAGATATAAAAGGCTAATAAGAGTCAAAAAAACTTAATAAAATTCCTTTATTCGTTTAACATAAGTATAATTAAAGATAGAAATAATAAATCAAATTGTAGAAAGTACAAAAAAAACACTAAAATACATACATGTTTCAACCTTATATTTAATTTCAATCTTCTTCAATACAAAAAATTTATTTCCCGGCGCAGTATAATACATTATCATTATTCAAAAATTAAGAAAGCGACTGTTTCGTTGCATAATTAGATGAGAGTTAAAAAAACAGAGAAAACGGAAAATTGTTCAAGCGATTGGTTGACAAGCGACTGATTGCGAAAATTTTGCGAAAAATTGTTCTAGAGAGAGCATAAAGAAACATAGAATATAAAATAGAAATAATTTTTTGTACATTTGAAGAGGGCCTAAATATAAGGTCGAAACATGTATGTAATTATATTCTAGCGTTTTAATTTTTGTACTTTCTACAGTTTGATTTATTATTTCTATCTTTAATTATACTTATGTTAAACGAATAATGGAGTTTTATTAAGTTTTTTTGACTCTTATTAGCCTTTTATATCTCGTTGTTGGATTTTAAATAATAAAATACTGAATACGATAAGTAATACCACCATGCTGCTAAAATTTGTTTTATTGTTGTACTCAGCCACCACACTCACTTTTGAAAGAATATGGCGAGCAAAACAGCTCGCGGGTTTTTGAGATTGCTTTTGATTTCGTAGTAGTGATTCAGCTTCTCCCTGAGCGAGTCCAGATTGTGATACGTGCGTTTTTCCTCCGAGTAGACTTCCTGCAGGCGTGTGAACCAGGAGTCGCAGACCGCGGCGTCCAGGCCCTCCGTAGCTTCCTTCCAGCTGTCCTCCAGCGATGCCATTGCCGCTGAAATTATTCGATTCATTTAATTCGCGAATGTTACACAAGCATGAAAAAAAGTGTGTGAAAGAAAGAAAGGTAAATTGCCATAAATAATTTTTTAATTAGTAACTGTTTACCGTATGGACTGACACGTCACTCCAATAAGGATTGCAATTTTAGTACGAAGAATTTCAATTAAATTTACGCTTTTCCGGAAATAATTAAATAGTTAGTGATTTAATGTTGAGAAAAATTTAAGGGAATATTAATTGTGTTCCCAAGAAAGGGAATTTATAGTTAAATATTTACCTCAAGATGTTGGTCGTTAATGGCTTAAATTAATTAAAATTAATTAATTACCGCTTGAACTTCCCTTACAAAAATTTAATACTAAGAGATAATAATTAATTACTTATTAAGCATTAAATTATAGTACTTTTAATACTCAAAGTAAGTAATTAATCGCTATCTTTTAATATTAAATTAATTAGTGTTAAATTGGAATTTTGTAAGTGTTGAGAATTGAAAAGAATATAATTTTATGGTAATTCTGTTTAACAATTTAATGAAGAATTATAATTTCAAGAATTGAATATGGAAAGGACAGAGAGGACCCTTACAGAAATCTAATTTAATACTGAAAATTATTTATTTTAAGTTCTAAAAGTTCTGAGTGATTAATTATATGTTTTGAGTATTAAAAGCACTGAAAGCAGTCTTTTTAATATTTAAAACAAATAATTAATTGCCACCTTTCAGTATTAAATTTCTGTAAAGAAACTGAAAGACGCTCAGACATTTACGTCTATTTACAGATATGCCGAGGTCAATGCCAAAGGATAATACAGAAAAGAAACAATTTGTTCAATGTTTGAAATGAAGTTCGCGGACCCAATTAAGGTGAACGAGGAACTCGAGAGCATCTCGGAAACATTCAATCAGCCGACATGCCGAGGAGACTGCCAGAAGGAAAAGATCGTGAACGCGAATTCGCGCTGAATCGTGGCACTCACTTAATTTCCGATGGACGAAGAGCCGTGGACACACACGGTGTTTTCGGGACAGCGGGAAAATTACCGGGGCATCATCCACGCGCGAACGCCTCGCGAATGAGCCCCGCTAAACCAGCGGAGCGCTACGTAGCGCCGCGTAGACCGACATACACAACACTCCACCTCCACTTATTGATCGTGGTGGTGACTCGTTTCCGAGCTTGTGGCCGCGACAGTTTTCGTCGCACTTATGGAAATCACGCCTCCCTCACGTGCGATTTCCGAGGGAAAATCTTCTTAGTGTATAGGTACGATATTCATGATCCATTCTTATTTTAAGATCGTCTTGAGTATGTCTAAGATATTAATATAGCCCTCTGATTATAATTTTTATACATCTTAAGACAGTCTCAAATAATCTACTAAATACCGGCTACAGATTTGTTTTTTTATTGCTGTACTGGTTTGCATTATTTTCCTTCTCACTTTCACAACATTTTAAATATATATATATAGTAAGATTTATTTTTTTTATAATATCTATACTATTTATAATGTCAAATTATATTCAATTTGAATTATTTTTAATCACAATTCCTATCGATCGCCATTGTTCTTATTTATTATTTATTATTATGTATACTTATTATATTAATTTAACTAAAACAATGGAGGTAAATAATTCAAGAAATGTTAATTATTAATTTCAATTAATTTGACGTAAATTTAATTTATTATTTACTGCAATTGTATGTTAATAGTATGAGCACTTTATTTTAAAATTAAGTATTTTAAAATTAATATAAAAAGATTGATTAGATATGATTGTTGTTTTCCATACGTTTTTATTAAAATAATAATACAGTTCGACACATTTAGAAGTTAAAAATAACAAAATATTATTGTTTAACTCAAGAAACGAATTTGAATTTGATCCTAAACTAGCTAATATACTTTTGAAATTTAAAGTGAATAAATACACTCACTTACAGGTATAATATTTAGTGAAAGCGAAAAAGAAAAATCTAATAGTTTATAAGACAGGAATAAAAAACCTATTAACTAGTTTAAGTACAAAAATTCTACACTAATTACAAAAAAAAAAGTCTTTTATCTTTGTTTTGCGCAAATCAATTTCTTTTCATTGATTTTATAACAGCGCGAGAAATGCAGTTTCAATATTGTTATGTAATTATTAAGTCTATATATGGTAAATATTAAATCTATATATAAGTCAGAAGTACAGAATATCCTGGCGCTTTTCCAAATTTATACACGTTTTCCAGTCCATCAAACTGTGCTCAAATTAATCTTGAATAAAAACAAAGATAAGAGACATTTATTTTTTTTGTAATTAGTGTACAATTTTTGTACTTAAATTAATAAGTTAATAAGTAATTAATAAGTTTTTTATTCCTGCCTTATAAATTATTAGATTTTTCTTTTTCGCTTTTACCAAATATTATATATGTAAGTGAGTGTATTTATTCACTTTAAATTTCAAAATACTAGCTAGTTAGTTTAGCTGTGTACCATTAAAGAATCAAATTCAAATTCGTTCCTTGAGTTAAACTATAATATTTTGTTATTTTGTTATTTTTAACTTCTAAATATGTCGAACTGTATTATTATTTTAATAAAAACGTATGGTTGAAAACAACAATCATATCTAATTAACGCTTTTAAATTAGAATAATAATATTATAAATAATATTATAAATAAATATTATAGGTAATCAATTTAATACGTGTAATAATGATGCCAATAAGTACTTTTAAACTATATTGCCAAGAATTTTTGAATTTTATTATTTACTTAACTGTTTATTTAACAAGTTTTTAATTCTTTTGTTATATTTATATTTATATTTTATTTATTGTCACATTCGTTTTACGTATACATATACTAGTGAGTTTTTTCTTAAATTACTTATGTAAAAAATGTAATATAAAAAGATTTATTAGTATTATAATGATGTAGTGCTGGCGATTTTTTAATTTAATCAATTTAAAGAAACTTCTGTTGTACAAAATTGATATGCAAAATTTATTAATTTATTCCTGATATTATTCCAGGCATATGGAATGGCAGAAATTTTTTAAACTTTCGCGGAGGAACTAATCGAAAGATCGAATATTGCAAAAGTCGAATTTCGATATACGTCCTCGTATCATTCGATGTGGTTCGATATCCGGCACTTGCCAAAGTTATGGAGCGGTGTATGCTTCGCGAAAGAGACTATTATGACTTTCGAAAACTATCCAAAGATAATTTATTGTTATTCTATATATTACTGATTGCACTGATCTTTATTACTTTGTTCCTGTGCGGCTTTTTGTTCAATTCTACTCATTATGACTATAATGAACGCGCCTCGAACTCGAATATACCTAAATACATCGGTAACTTGAGGTAAGTTAACCAAATTAAGACTTGTGCAAGGGAAAAAAGAGAAAGATTAGATTTTATCTTTAAGAATTTAAGAATTAATTTAATTTTATTAGGGGAATAAGAAATATGATACAATCAGTAACAAGAAAATAATAAGTAGAAGAAGAAATATGAGATAAATATCTTCGACTTAGTAAAGGTCGAAGATATTTATGTTATCTTCATCTTATTCTTGATGGAAATTTTTTTCAGAATCTTTCGTATAATTTCTCAACATTTTTATGTAAATTTCAAAAATCATTTTTGAACAATTTTCAAACTTTTTAGAAAATTTCAGAGATATATTTTATATGAATTGGAACTTTCTCCAAAAATATTGGGAAAAATTTACATTTTCTCTAGAATTCTTTATATTAGGTGTAGTAAAAAGAAATCATTATTTTTCCATTCAATTTTATGCAAAAATAATGGATTTCTTTTTGCTACATATGTTTGTTAATATATATGAATTCTGAAATATTCTAAGATTTCTCATTTTATAATTTCTGAATACATGAATCATAAATGAAAATTAAGATATTTTATAAAATAAGAAAATAGAATATTTCAGAATTCATGTATACAAAAAATTCTAAGAAAAAATAGATTTTCTCGGATATTTGTGAAATGTTTGAATTGTATAAAAATTCTGAGAAAAATTTTTATCAGGGCTGAAGAGGACTTCCAAAATATAAAAAATAAATAAACACATAATTAATAATTATATTAAATAAATAATAAATTTAATTTAGTTTCTCAACATATTAATATCAATGTTTCTAATGCTGCAAAATATTACTGATAATCTACAAAGTTATATAATTTTGGTTTAATTAATATATTAAGGAAATTGAAACCTATACTCAAGTTTGAATCAAATAGTCTTGTTTACATAATTGTTAATACATTTATATATCTTGAATATGTTGATACTTCAATTCAAAATATTTATTGTGTATTGTTTTCAGAATAAAGACAGATTTGTTATATAAACCGTTGATAAAAAGATTAATATTTATGGTGATCGATGGGCTAAGATGGGACTTTATTGCGGGTCCTATAGGAAAAACCGCCATGCCGTTGACGAGTGATATACTGACAAACGATCATGGATGCTTGATACAAGCTAAATTGCAAGCACCAACAGTGACGATGCCTAGAATAAAAGTGAAGCTGCAATTTTGTTAATAATTTATTTGAAAATATTCTACGCTGCGAAGTTAGTTTGTAAGAATTTTTATTTATTAGGCCATGATGACTGGTACAGTGCCAAACTTTGTAGATGTAATATTGAACTTTGGGAGTAAACCTCTGCACAGGGACAATTTGTTGTCTCAAGCGAAGGCACATGGATATAAATTAATATTTTATGGAGACGAAACTTGGCTCTCTCTATTTCCCAATATATTTGATCGTCACGATGGTACTACTTCATTTTTTGTTACAGATTTTACAGAGGTAACTAATATATTAGAGTGATACGTAGTCCTCATAAATTGAAAAAATATAAATTACTTTTATGTTTAGAATAATTAGATGAATTGTATATTTAAAAAATGATATAATTTAAACAAAGTGTCTGTCATATATTTTTAGCTTTTTTTCCACCTAGAAAAAAAAAAGAACGTGATCAAAATATATCACTCTTGAAACTATTCCATTTTTACCTAAAACATTATTTTGTATCATTAAAAATAAAATTAAATATTTAAGATTTTTAATAAATGAGACAAATAATAAGTTATGTGATAAGCTGTTGTCTTATTCAAGATTATTCTTTGGAGACTAACTATTCGTTCAATTTTAAACAGGTAGATAATAATGTGACTCGACATATACAAGACGAGTTGAGTAATGATGATTGGGATGTGATGATTCTTCATTACCTCGGACTAGATCACATTGGTCACGTCGAAGGTCCGTTTGGTCCGTCAGTTAAACCTAAATTACAAGAAATGGATAAAATTGTCGTTCAAATAGCTCAAAAAGTTCAGGATTGGGTTAGTATTTGAAAAATTGTAATCTTAATCCTTGCTTTGTAATCTTTTTCTTTTTATCTGAATTAATAGTATGTAAAAATAGTTTTTTACATATTATTATTTAGAAGAAATTTAATATTGCATTATTTTACTTATAACATAATACAATTCTATCACTTACTTATTTTTAGAACAGTGATGGAGAACCCACACTTTTCATCGTTTGCGGCGATCATGGGATAAAAGACTCTGGCGGCCACGGCGGCTCAACGCCGGAAGAAACAACAGTGCCGATTATTACAGTAGGAGGAACTATCTGTGTATATGAAGACACTGAATTAAGAATTCCGATTGAGGTTCAGCAACTCGATATTGCGGTGACATTATCGGCCGCCCTCGGACTACCCATTCCTTCTACAAGTCTTGGCTCTGTATTTCTGGACTATATCTACAATCTCCAAGACGATAAGCGGCTCTTCCTCCTCAATTACAACTCGAGACAATTGTTTGATCATTTCCAGAAATTCACCAATGAAACTGAGTGTAAGCATTTAACTCTTAAGAATTATTCGTAAAACATTAAGTATATTTAGATATTTAGATAGCGAGAAGATAATAAATTCAGGATTATAGAAATTTAGAAGCAAGGAAAAAGAAATAAATTTAATGATACGAAAAATCAAATTTAAGTTTTTAAGAAGAAGTTCAAAAACTTATAATTATATAAATAATAAATATATCTAGAAGCGTGTGAGAGAATCTTCAAAAAGTCTCCGAAATTATTTTATTTATTTTATGCAGGTATATTAAAAAATAAAATCGACCAACAATAAAGAACATAGCTAAATAATAAGAATGCAAAACAAAACAGTTTATTTTCAAAGAATTTTTTTTCTTGTATCTTTAAGAGACATATCAACAAAAGTATTTTACAAAGGATCTAAGTTGGATAAGATCTACATCTTTACTTCTTTCTTTGCACACACATTTTATTGTAATAACTGATATCATCTCGTGGATTGAGCTATCTATCGAGCGCGTCTCCGGGTGGCGGATAGGAGGATGACCAGACGACGTGGAGTTATCTGGTTAGCGGCAGTCATAGCCGATGATAAAAATTGTCGCCGCGGACCAGCTTTCCAAGCCAAGTTGTGAGCTATCTCGTGATGAGGGCTGCGTGGTACTAGGGGAGCAATACCGTTAACGATGCCTCCGGGGAACCGGGCGCCACCCCAGCAGTACACAGCTTTACTCATGCATGCAGGGCTCTGCGTGGGCGGACCGTATATATTCCCTAGCTGCTCGTGGGATTCAAATTGGAGAAACCTAATTTTAATCAAGAAATTAATATGAAAACGAAGATAGAGGACCCGCAGAATTCACGCACATCAATCACTCAATTTTCTGCCTATAATAATACTGTATTTACCACAAATCAACCGAATGCTGTGGTATCGAGAAGCAACACTTCCCATTCATGAGAAAAACGAAGAAAACAAAATTACTATCTACGTAACTTTGCCTTTAATCTTTCAGCTTCCTCGACGATGCCACAGGCAACGACGAGCACATTCACCAACGTTAACCATTCGCAAAGTTTCACCAGCTTTGTGTCGAATAACGAGATCACAAAAAAACAAAAAAATATGATAAAAGAATCGAAATAATTAATCATAATCTAACAAGAGCGATAGTATCGACGAACAATGTACCCTCAATGATGCCACAGGCAACGACAAGCACATCCACCAGCGTCAAACGTCTGCAAAGTTCCTTCGATAGCTCTGTGTTGAATAGCGAGATTACTAAAAAGCAAAAAACATTTGACAAGAGGATCGAAGTGATTAATCATCACTTAATCAGAGCAATAATGTCGACGAACAATATGCCTTTGGGTCTAGAACACTTAACACTGTTCCGAGGTGCTATGTCGAAGGAAATCGACAAAATTGTCGATGGATTTATTCCCAAATTTCATGATTCATATATCAAATTTGGCGCTATAATAATCAAATGTGTCGATCAGTCATCGCTTTACTGGCTTTTGACGCAGATCGACAATATTTTGCCGTGGCCGGAGGCCAAACTCAAGATGATCATTTACAATGAGTTGCAGAAGTATTTTCGGGCTTGCGTATGGATTCCAGGTCCACTCGAGTCCTCCGAGACCGTGCTGAAGCGATTGAATCGACAAAATCCGGATCTTAATACGGCAAATTGGCAAATATTCGCCGAGAATTTGGGAGTTTTTGAAGATGGAAGAAGTATGTTTCTCGGAGTGCCTGAATCGGATTTCAAGAAACTTGAGGCATCTAATTTTATGGCTTACCTAGGTCTTGGACAGATCAACTTTGCTTTTAACAACATTAGGAGAACTCAGTCGCGACTAGTTCGTAATGTCCAGTTATTTTTTTTTAGCTCGAGATAGGTTTTATTCTTTGCTGTACATAAAAGACTACAATCCAAAAAATATTTATTCTTTATATTATATATTCTTGCGTGGTATAATAAAAAAAAAACAAGTATTTCTTTTGTAAATCAATTTTTTCAATTTTTTTGTATAAAGACAAATAAATGTCAGGACATATTTTATTATGTCCTTATATATTAAAAATAATTTAACATATACACGTAATTTCTATCATTTATTTTCGTTTTGTATTTTGTTAATTTTTGTTCTGTATTTCGTTTATTTTCGTTTTGTGTATTTTATTTCTTCAGAAACTCGAGTCTAACAATAAAAAAAAACTCAATCTTTTTTATTTAAAAAAAAAAAGATTTAGGAATATTGGGATTTTTTTGGGCTTCGTTTCTCGCGAGATTCTTGCATGAAGTCTTAAAAAGAAATGTTGACTAAAAATCTGCAAGCTGACATCAAATAGTTAATAACTTTCTTTAAAAAATTAAAAAGATGCTCTGTTAAATGACTACATTTTCTGTTATTTTCTTTTATTATTATACAATGACAAATTTTATGACAAAAAAATGACAAAAAATTGCATCTTACTGAAACTTTTAAAGTGGTAATGAATTAAAATAAACTACTTATACGTTACTTCAATACTATTACCTTTATTTATACGTCAAGATGCGTTTTATTTTTTTCTAGTATAGCATCTTCTATCGTCTCTTGATATATCTTCACAATATTCCAAAATTTCGAATTAGCGATCAAAAGGCAGATTCAATATTTTTTAGATATATACCAGAAATATTTGAACATCACGGATCTGCATCTTGATTGGTTCAACTCAAATGAGACACAGCGTGATCGATACGATATTGAGAATATTGCCTTGTCTTATCACGCGATTCTTGATGCAATGAAGGAAGAGCTTGTAACTAGCCATTTAGTCATATATGACTTTAGTCTGATAGTTGTTGTCTTGTTCATCATGTGGCAAGTAAGCAAAATAGATAATTTAGAAAGATCCAATTAGTATTTAAGAAATTATATTTATATTAAAGAGAATTCAAATCAATGTGAATTGGTATAAAAAAAGCCCTTATAATATCTTATAATATTAAATAATTTTTTATGTATAAAATTTATGAAAATTTATAAAAAAATTAAAATTTTAAATTTTATAAGTTTTTTCAAATCTGAAGATTATATAATAAAATGAGAAAATCTTAGAATATTAATAGAAAATTCATACATATAAGGAATTTTAAGATCTAGATTTTTCAACACTTAAAAGTATTGTAATTCATATAAAAATTAAAAAATTTTTTTAAAAGTATATAGAAGTTTTGAAAAGTTCTGATTATGAAGAATAAGAAAGATTATTTCTTTGAAAAGGAATCAAAGAGATAATCTTATTAAATATAAATTTTGAAATATGTATAACACTAATTAATATCCTTTACTTTAATTTAAGGAATTTGAAGATAATTTTACTCTACATCTTTTTTCAGATGGTTTTTATTGCGTTTCATGTGGAAACTACAATTTGGACTACGCGTAAAAACACAGTATTTTTTTTTTTGATGGGATTTTCTCTGTGCTTAGGATTGTATCTTTATACTTTTGGAAACATAACTTCTCTCTGTCCGAGTATCAAAGCTCTATTGTTTCTACTAATCATCGGCGTTTCATATATTAACTATAATCTGAATTTAAATAACAAGAGAAATGTGAGAATCAATATTTATTTAATTTCCAGTGTTAGATAATAAAAAATATTAATTTAAACATTGAAAGTATTTGTTGAGCAATAAATAATTAGATATAGATTTATTTAATTTATATAAATTGAACAAAAATATACTCTAGTAATAAATATTTTACTACAAATATAGCCTAAATTATTTTTATTATAATATAATAATTGTTATTATAATTGTTTCCTATAGATAAAATTCCTGTTATATTTTAGTAATTTTTGAACTCACATTTTTTTTTTCAAAGTATATCTCCATTGTGATTTTTTAAAATTTCAATTTTTAAATTTAGATTACGCTGGAAATATCGATATACAGAATGTTGGAAATTATCACGGTGATGCATATAATAAGCTTCTGCGGTAGCAGTTACATCGAGGAAGAACATCAGACATGGTACTTTTTCTGGTCTACTTTAATCGCATACTTTGCCTATAAATATTTTACGAAACTACTTGAATTGATACATTATCGAAAGTGAGTAGAATTTTTTCTCTTTTGATATAATGATAGATCAAATCTGACATTGAAAATATTATTTGTTCACGAAAAAATCAGCATATAATTTCTATAAATTTTTCAGAGATTGCATTATGTATATTTACTTACATTTCACGTGTGAATCAAACAGAAATTGATACGTTAATTACTTTTTTAAATATTAAATTTCGAGAGATCACATTGTGTTTCTATTATCTATTAATTTTAGATAAATACAAAAAATATAATCATTCGCTTATCAATTTATTATTACATAAATTTAAAAAATAAGATAATAAAATTCAAGTCAGATTTGAATTATGTCTGTAGCGACACAGCTGAATCTCTTCATCATCTAATAGTACAGTATATAACAGTAATATAGTAGGATCAACCGAATATTACGTAGAACACTGTGTTATGTTGTTATTGCTATTTTTGGGACACATATTTCTGCGAAAGCTAAACAGCACAGGCAACAAGTGGGCCCACCTGCCTGACATAGCTCAGTGGTTGAAGGAGGACGATAGTAAAATCGGCATGACACTCCTACTTTTAACTGGTAAAATATTGATGAAAGTTTAACTTTTTTTCAACATATTGAAGTACAGATAGACTTTTTTAATTATAAGTGACTGGAAAATGAGTTGTTCCCTTGATATGGACAGACATCTTTTACAAAATTTGGCTCAATACTTTGTGATATTTATTTTCAGCATTTGCTCTTCTGATCCGGATTGCTTATAAAATTGAAGAAAAAGAATATAAGCAGCAATCGTTGTTTCAGAATATAGCTATCGCCGTATGTATATATCTTCGCCATATGTCCAACGGTGCCGTCGTGAAAATTCCATTGTATTCCTCAAGGTAAATTGTATTATATTTATACTGCACGTAAATATCAATTTATCAATCGTTCATTAAAGTGACTGTACGAGTGGATCACACATTTAAGAAGTAAATTTTTACGTTTGTTGCAGTGGAATATATGAAGTACAAATATTTTGGGGAATAATAGTGATATCTCTGATAAACTACGGATACCGATTGATAAAAAAAATTAAGCATGATACGTATAATTTTATGAGTATAATGGTGTTCTTTATCATAAATATGTGGGTGAGGATCTCGGCGATGTTGCATCAACCGTACAATGTGATCCTGTTACCGATGCAGATCATTGTAAGCTCAATAATTAACACTGTATTGAGAGAAAACGATTCGCTCGATCGTGGAGTTTTCTTACATTATTGGTTGGGCAATGTATTTTATTTCTATCAGGTAAATATTTGAAGTCCTTGATTTTTATTAATGTACATGAATAGAATAGAGGAATCTCGAGGAAAATATCTTTGATCAAATCTTTTCTTTCTTTTGAATAATTCTTAGTGAAACTTATGTATATATGAAAGCATTGTTTTTTTACAATATTATATTATTTAAATTGATCAGAATTATTTTTCTATTAGTTAAATTTCTATAAAAAATTTCGTTGGAAATTCAAACATTCTGAAGTTATATAATATACTTCATACTTAAATATGTTTATAGTATAAAAAAATAAAGATTTATCAAATTTTAAATTCTTATAAAGTTCTCTTGGCAAGAAACAATACAAAATCTTTTTTATTATGATTAGTTCAATAATTTATTGAGATTGTCAAAGACTAAACTGATTTCGATACTTATCTCGTATTGTGCATTGATATTTTAGGGAAACTCCAATAGCCTTGGGAGTGTGAACATCGCGGCAGGATATGTCGGTCTACAATCTTACATGCCTTTTGTTACCGCTGTGTATTTAATCATTAATACTTATTCCGCGCCTGTCCTAGCTTACTTCCTACTCATTTACCATTGGGAAATGAGTGAGATATATCTGCAAGTATTCCGTGAATTCTACAATTATTGTATTGCGATTGATTAAATTGATACACTCCTTAACGAGAAAATCGATTATATATTTTTACAGCTCCACAATCCTTAAGAAGATTATACATACAAACAAGTGTTACATCGCGTGGAGGCTCCTGACGACAACTGTCTACATGTACTTTATCATCTTCCAGCTTAATCATTTGTTTGTGTTGTCGGTATATTTACCGAAATTGTTATATGAGGTGACATATACTATGACGATGTGTTGCAGCGCATTGTTAACGGTGATTGTAATTGCAGTGCAACATGCATTGATTCGTTTTGACGATGTGCACAGATGTCATATTTGCGGGAATCTAAAAAATGGACATGCGTTTGTACAATACTCAGATAACCAGGCCTGATTTAGCATATTAAACAAACTAATGTACTGCACGAGTTTTTATGAAGTTGCGGCAATTGCTACATCTTACGTGCAAACTGAGTTAGCAACATAAGGGACAAATAGACATCATCAGTTTATAAAATTTCAAGAACAAACGTTGAGAATTAATAATGCGTCGTGTTGATGGCAAAATGACGGCACGCGATGAGCTAGCATTTCGTATATAGTATCATGCTGACAACATAATGGCAAATTGATGGCACATATATTTTGCATACCATTATGATGCTATCAATTTGTTATTATCAAATTTAGAATTCACATAAGGGCAATATTTCACACATAATGAGAAAGCATCTTGTCCCTAGTTTGTCAATATCTATTGCAATGACTGACAGTAACATGCCGGCACTTTGAACTCATTTGACTATCAGGGTAGAAACCAGTGCAAGAAATATATGTGCGCGTTTGTACAAATAAACAAAATTTATATAAATTTATATAAATATTGATGTTTCAGAAAATTAGATTTAAATCGATTTTTATAAATTTAATTAGAGTCTAAATAATGTAATTAAGTTAGTAATTAATAGCGTTCATACACTCCGATGAAAAAGACTGATAGAGGTCATTCCAGTAGTAAGAAAAATTGATCAAAAAAAATCATAAACTTTGTACAGCATTAATTGTATTAAGTACAACTAATCGATATGAGTATTCATAAAATGAATTTATCATAGCCGTATTGCTTAATGAAGATTTTATTCTCGTCTTTAAAAAAACATCTTTTTTATTGCATAAAACTAAACCTAGAATGCAGTATTAACAGCATTGAAACGATATATCATAGTATAACGGAAGTTTATTAGTAAAATAAATTTGCTAATGTGGAATATCATTTAACAAAGATTATAATCTTTGACTTGTGTTCGTATAACAAGAATCGGACTAATTTGCTTCAATCATCACATAATATAATAAAAGGCAAGAAAAAAATGGATTTAAACAAGATTTAAACAAGAAGTGCTTATCTGAAAATTTGTAACTTGTTACATTAAGAAAACATTCATAAACATCATATTTTCCGAAAATATAAAAAAAAATGAATTTCTTTTACTATAAATGTGTGTACATTTATTAGATCTAGCAATAACTTTAATAATTTCCCTTTATAATCTCCACTCATACTTTGCACAACGAATGAAAATTGCGTCGTCAATTTAGAACAAAGAAAAGGAATGAAAAGTATATGCACGTGCATGTTGTTTGTATATAAAGTATCATTAATAAAATCAAATAATACAAAAGCAGTGCAAAGGAAGAAATTAAGTTTGCGGGGACTCGATTAATTGTGAAAACTTGGCCGTTCTGAAAATCGCGATTATGATTATATTCCATTTTATCATTGGAAATCGAGAATTCTATGCAATCCAGATGTGATTGAGCACTGTCTCACACAACCAGAGCATTGTCTCGTATCAGCGAGACTGTCACTACAACTCGAATTTAGTTTGACGTCGCAACTTAATAATCTCGCAGAGTTACATTTAATTCGCTAAAGTCCTCACTAATCTGCGATCATGACAAATAAATAACTACCGTTGCGTCCAAACGCTAAAAACGCCCAATTTCTCAACTGTGCGAAAATTCTACGAGCTCGGGCGAAATCGAATGTCAACGAGGATACCAAAATTATCAATAGGAACATATTTATGTGTAAGTACTTTACATAATACTAATGATAAGATCGTCAAATGCAAGATGTCTAAACTTTCCAGGCATGAATTATTATGGATATTAGAAGAACGCGAAACAATCTTTCTATAATTTTTAAACTATTAAAATAGTCATCTCTTTTTTTTTTAAATAAATGAAATCTAAAGCGATATCTATGTGGGACATCTTGAATAATGACAAAATCAAGAGCGAGAGAAATGTGCCCCAATGATACTTTCTCGTAAGTAATTTATCATCGAAAAGAAACCACTTTAATCGGAGCGGTTTGATAAAACGAGATAGAAAACTCGTTCATGATGCTCATTTAAGCTCGCAATCGATGATCGACGTCGCAAAATATAAATACATCGCTATAGAAAAATACCGGTGTTTTGTTCAAGTCTAATCGAATTTGGCAATATTTGACACAGCGTTGTAAGTACATGAAGCTCTTAAAGATCCTCGAGTCTTTTGGATTTCTCGAGTTTGCAGCAACTAAATCACAATACCAGTACTTTCGATAAAATACATGCTAATAATATATACACTTAACGATATACCCGTATATCTTTTAAAACGTATTTGATATTTCGAAGACGTCAAATTGATGCTGCAAATTGGATTAAAATGGCGAATTCATTCCTAGCTTTGTGCCAAATTCCAAACGTGCCCTTTTCTGATATCTCACGTTCACTCTGAAAAAAAAGGAATATGAATATTAATTAATTTCGAAGAAATTGCAGTGAATGCGCCAAGACGGACTAAAGGCATGCGAAAGGAAACTGGAACTTACTTGATCTCTTGCCACTTGATCAACTCGTTAATTATGAACGTCAGCGGAACAGAGAATAGAAAGAATAATGGCACGTGTATCGGGAAATTTTCGATCTTCTTGCTCTCTTCTCGCCAAAACTTGCGGAACACTATACCAGAGAACATCGCTTGCACACACAATCTACAACAATGATAGATGTATTTTAGAATTTAATCTATAATTTAAAGATTTTTTAAAAGGACCAGTTTTTTTAAGCAAACTTAATTAGAATTTTTACTTACACAATAAATACACCAAGAAACCAGGTGCAATTACTTATGGGATTTTTTTTCCATATCGAGTATTCTCTGTGCACAAAGCTAACAGATATCGTAACTGAAAGAAAAGATAGATATTAATGAATTTTTAAATATTGTTCACATATGTCAATGAATGTATGATGTGTTAATAAATGTATGATATGGCAACAAGTGTATGTAAGCGTATTGACGTAAAATATTTCCTACATCCCCAGTTAAATCTTGATTTTAAAAAACTAATAATGCTTTTTAACTTTTTGAAGAATTGTAAAATTTTGGAAAAAGACAAAATAAAATTGAAAAACAGAAGAAAGACTGTTTCGATTAATAGAAATTAAAAAATTAAAATTGAGTAATTTTACAAAATAAAAGATTGACAAACTAGATTAAACTTTTTGGCAATATTCCAGTATATTAATAAGGAGATAAAAACATCGTGCATAATTACCGAAATGCAGGACTATAAGCGTGAGAGCGAAATGTTGTACGACCAAAACGACAATTGGCTTGCTACCCCAGCCGCCCCAAATCTGGTCCCGCGGGTCCGGATATATATACAGGCACTTGGAGTTCTGTGGTACGTAGACGGGGCAAAGCGTTAGGAACGAGATGCACTGCGAGAGAATCACTGTGATCACCGTTGGCAAGAACTTGCTGCCGTAGCACCATAACACGAATAGCGTGACCTATAATATATTTCTCAGTGTCATCTCTGTTCTCGAAATTTGAATTAATATTAACAAATAAACATTAATTTACAAAGTTTTATGCAAGAGCAATTGAAGACTGTTTCTTAGAATAATAATTTTCGACGCTGAATCTGTCGTCGAAATATTTTCATCAGATAAAAAAAGATAAATTGGATTTTTACACTTTTTTCGAGATATAGTGAAGTTATATTGAAATTAGAAAAAAATCAGAAGAATTGAGCGTTTAATTTTTGTCAATTATATAATTTTGAATCAATATCTTTAATATTTTTTAATTATTATTATCTAATCCTGGTTGAAAACATTCGCCTTATTCATCACTTGTCGCATCTAAATTGAAAAAAAGTTTTTAAAAAAAAATATTTTAAAAATTGATGTACTATGGATGGAATTCATATTGCTCAAGATTCGATGTAGTCTTAAGAGAGTGCTTGAGATGTTATGAACCAATCAGAGAGTCGTATTAACATCTTAAGACATTACTTGTGAGATGGACTTGAGATTAAGAACGAATTATGGATACCTATATTTTTTTTATGGCAAATTTGAATTCAAAGTGCTAAAATATGTTTTAAATAAAGTTGTTTTTTTTCCTTGAAATTATTCAAAATTTGTAAACTATATGTCAGTGTAAACTATAAATCAGTGTTTCCACAAAACTTTTTAAGTGTGATCAGATTAGAAACAGAGATTGAGATTGGATTTAGAATTTAACCAATCAAAAGAAAGAAAATCAATCTTAAGTTTAATGAATTTTGCTTTGATTGATTAAATTCTAATTCAATCTCAAATTTAATCTCTGATTACGGATTTACTCCAACTTTTTTCTCAAATTCGCACTTTATACATTTAAATTATATATCAAAATTAAAAACTAATATAAAATTATAAAGTAAATAAATAATAAAAATAGAGTGAAAAACGCGTTTTCCTCCTTTATAATTTGGATTTGTTTTATATGGTTTGAATTATATAAAACACACGAGTTTCAAAAAGATCATCAATATCATTATCTTTGTTCTTTTCACCTCTCCATTGACCACGCATTGATTTTTTCCAGTCGCGCGTTGCATTATCGTCGAGTCTATCGGCGTGGTGATCATGGATGTCGACAGTACAGGAATTATTAAGCAACAGAGCCAAAGTATTTGATCGATGGAGAACAGCGGCGGTAACAGTAGAAACGCCGACAGCATTTGTACAAATGAGAGCGTAATTACACAGCACAGCCAAAATTGTATACAATTCCATAGATTCTTCATGTAATGACGAGCCTGTGTGCATACAAGAAAAAATTTATTATTGTTTGGCATGGCTTCATCTTCTAGTTTAATTTTTTGGAATCGTACCTCCATAATGAGATGAAAAATTGCTACAGGATCCTCACGTTTCACACTCAGTGAACACGTAACAGAGTTTAGCGCTCTACTCAGATCAACGGGAGAAATTCCTTGGCTCTCCTTAGGAGATACCAATACTGGTACCTTCTGACATACCTGGGGGTACAAGGGCTCCACTGCCACTCTATAATCGATTTACAAATCTTTAGAAAACTTCGATTAAAAACATCATTTTCGCATTGAATCGAAAATTAGAATCTCTCTGCATAAATATTTCTTTAGAAAATTAATTCTGGGTATCGATTATGTATCTTTTTCTCTGGGGTGAAAATGTGAAAAGTGAAAATTTTTGTATGTATGTATATGTACATGCATATAAAATTTTTCACTTTTCACATTTTCGCTCTAGAGCAAAAGTTACATGATCAATATCCATCATGTAACTTTTCTTTAGAGCGGAAATATATGAAAAATAAAAATTTTTACGTTTGAATGTGCATATATAGTTAACATTTTCAATTAAAACCTGCTATGATCGAAAACATTAACACATTCATACAAAAAAATTCTGACTTTTCACATTTCCGCTTTAAGGAAAAAGTTATTAACCCCTGTTCGAAATTTTTTAGGAATTTTGCCTGAAAATCTGAATGAAAAATATCTGAATCCTTGTACAGAGTTGTCACAGAAAATGAACTTTAAAATTTCCTGACTTTTCCAGGTTTTCCAGATGAAAATAGAAAATTTTCCATAAGTAATAATAAAATATGTAAATTTTAATATTTAGATTCAAGGATTGTAGGAAAAGTTAGTCTATATTATTAAAAATAACACAAAAAAAGTTTAGTAGCATAGTACAATTTTGAGTGCAAATTCAAGCCAGCAAAAAATAAATTAGTTTTGAAAAAAAGAATGCAGTATGACGATCGAAAAAGAGGGATCAAATAAAAATACTGAATAAAATATAAATTTTAAAAATAAGTGTTTAGAAAGGCTATGAACCAAAAAACAATGTAAATGTGTAAATAAAGGAAATAAATATAATTAATCTAAAGCAAATAACAAATAACAGACATCATTTCGAGCGGTCATCCTCAATGTTACATATAAACATAATTAAATAGAACAGATCAACTAAATTGATATACTTAAATTAAACGAATCAACTAATAAAATAATACAAAAAAACAAATAGCCATCTGTAAAATCGCGTCTTGTCATCATGAATCTGATATTACGTCTGCAAAAATATAGCGTACGTTAGAGATGTCAAAATAATAAAAGTCCTTATTGGTGTCAAAGTGCACAAAGTATTCAAACAACATCATAAATTCAAAAATTCACGTTAAAATCTATAAAAATAGTAAAAACAAATATTACATTAACATAATATCTAAAACAATGAAAACGCCAGAGCAATAAATACAATGATATTGAATATCAAACGATGAATATAAATTTTAATAATTTTATTAAAATCATTTAAAGTGCACAAGTTTTGAACGTATTTGACTATAAACGATATTAAATATTTAAAAAATATATTATAACAATTATTTAGAATAGGAGCAGTTTTAAGAAATTGTGAGCAAATTTCGAAATTTCAGACTTTTTTTACATTTTCCCCTACTTTTTCTGATTTCCATGACCAATTTCAATTTCTCTGACTTTCCCCAATTTTCCAGATCTGTGGCAGCCCTGTTATAATCGATTGAGATCATAATTATTATAAATTACCCTGCGTCAGCCTGCATGAAGATAGGCATATTCTCAGCGTTGGCAGAGGAGCCAAGCACACACACCACTTCGCCATAATCCTGCATTATATGCAACATCTCGCGGGTTACTGTAGTATTGCAGTCGGTGAACAGGGACACGAGTAAAGGAACATTATCTATCAACTCGATGTGCGGACGTATCTTGTCTATGCCCCTTGGCAATTTAGCCTGTATACGCAGAATAAGTAAAGAAGGCTATTTCGATCAAAATAAAAAAGTTCGAAGATTACAAATTATATATCGAACAATATAATTTTGTTGATTAATTCCTGAAATATTCTATTAAACAACTTTTAGATTTATGATAACCATTTCTTCCGATGTTTCCGATATTTCCTCTTTATAAACAATACAACAGCCAAAATTTAATCCTCCTTATGTTGTGTTTTGTCATAAACGTTTATTAGATTTAATTCAAGAGAAGATTCATCTTACCCTGTTCGATAGATCAAAATTAACCGGCGCACTTTGTTCGGTGCTATCGGTGAGGCAGCTCAAGGATCTCCAAGCCTCCTGGCCTGATCCCAAATCGACGCTCTGCACCAGAACGCTGTCCTCGCTTCTCACCGTGTCCTGCTCTCTGCTCGACAGTTTGTTATCTCTGTAGCATCATAAAATCTTAAATAGCATCGAGTTTGTTTTAGAAATTGTTTTTTATTCTGTTTTAGAGATATCAACAGCAACCTGTGGCTCATTGTGCTCTTGACCTGCGATGTTCCTGTGTTATTCCATTCGGTTGTTTCATCGTCGAATTTCACTGTCGAGAAATCCGTGTTGATAGCGCTTGGCGCCGACATGCTCATCGCTCGGCTGTTGTTCAGATTGGTACTAAAATGAGAATTATTCTTTCTTAATGGATACTCTCTAATCGCTCGACACTTCGCTAGTCATAACGGTAAGTTAAAGCACATTAATGCTAAGAAGCCAAGAGAATACGTTAATTCATTCTTTCGAACACGACAAAGCTTTCATAACAAATAAATGAAAATTCTCTCGTCATGCTGCGCATGTTTTGCGATCGATTAACCAGAAAACGCACGAGATTTTAAATATTTATGTCTTTTCATAATATTTCGATTAATGTTTCATTTTTTTCAAATTCATTTCTCATTATCCAAACGTTTGTAATCTTCTATTAGATTTCCATTAGATCTCATGCATTCTATAGTTATTGTGCTGCCCTTTTAATATCTTTTTTCTTTCTTTGAAGCAAAGCAGAAATCTGATTTCATATTGTACAGCGTATATAGTGAGCTATTTCTGCATGTAATCGGTGTAACGTACCGAGGTAAGACACGATTAAGCAAGTGGCTGGCCTCGTCCATGCAGGAGTAATTAGGCTGATGAGATTGGGCCGTGGGTGAGGGAGTGGGTGAGGACATGGCTGCTGCCTGGCTCACCCACCAACCCACTGGACTCTCGGACCTAATATTGTCATGTGTGTGTTAATTACAGTACATATAATTGTGTAATCTTCACGCGAGTAATCATGTATTTGCATAATGAAAATTCTTAATGGGCGTCAATTTGCAATTGCAATAAATTGCTCCACATTAGTTAAGGAACATATCATTAAAAAAATAATTATAAAGCAGTAGAGACAAAATAAAAATAAAATAATTACTGTTATTGTGCGACTCTGTCCTGAATAAAAAAAGAGATATTAGTTATACATGTTAGATATTAAGACACTGCAGCCAAAATGATCGCGACATCTTCAAAATTAGTGATACTGCAGGATGTCTCGGAGAAATTTTGAAGTTTGAATTAAACTTAAGTTTGAGGATCAATCTTAAGTTTAATTCAAACTTCAATTTTCAGAATTTCTAAAGATCGTTTGATCTATTTATGCATACTTTCTTAAATAGTATCTTTATATATCTAAAGTATCTTTATATATATAAAGTTTTATTTTTAAATAGATTTTTATATGACATAAAAAATAAACATTTGAGTTAATATGTATTAACACAAACTATAGAAATCAAAGCCTGATATAATATGTTGTATTGTTAATCTGTATTCAAATCAAGTGTGTACGAACTGGATTTTGTAGTATTATTTCTCAAGATATCCTGCGTAGTAACGATGAACATGCAATATTAACAATTACAAAAGTAAGAAAAGACGTATAGACAAACATGTACGACGGGGGCATATGCGGATATCTCTCCAGCCATTGCTGTTTCCTGCAATACATGGATATATTTTACATTCGAGCCTCATGGCAGCTCGCTCTAACAAGAATAAGAGATTTATCTCCGTCATATGCATGCAATTTTCCCACATGCGTGTCTCTCTCTCCTCTGATCCTACAATTATCTCTTTCAATCGGAAACGCCTCTCTTTAAATATATTTTTTCTCTTATTTTTAAAAATTTTTTCTTTTTTCTCCTCTTTTGTAAAAAGAAATTGTTTAAAAATTAAGAGATGATAAGAGGACGTTTGCTCTAAATTTTTTAGAGTGGAATGACTCTAAAGAGTGAAAATGAGTCTTAAAAAAGAGCAGTTCAATTTCCAATCTTTAAGAGTGAGATTTCACTGTTCAAAGTGAGATTCACTTGTAAAAGTTTTAGAGAGTTGGATCAGAGACACTGACGGTAAGTCGCGGATATGCCCCATAAAAAATTTAAGAGACATTGAGAGAAAAACAGCGATGTCATCGCGTCTCGATGATAAACGATACCTGGCTCCCTCGCTGAGTAACGAGATGTGACAATTCCAACCGCTCTCCAAGCCCATTTTCTCTGAGAAAACACGCGAGCGCAGTTCATTCTCCTTGCTGAAGTGCACAAACCTTATGCATGCTCTATCTAATTGTTCAATCAATTGTACCTATAATCATAATATATATTAATTTATTGTGTTCATAGTACAAATTATTAACCATTGACCATAATAATATCGCACCATATCGGTTTGTGCCTGATATTGCATGGTAACCATTCCGATGAAAACCTGATTGCATTGCACCTCGAAGCAGCTTTCAATATCGTTCACGTCGTCATCTTTATTTTCGTTACACAGTAAGGAATCTGAAAAGAAAGCCATATTTTTGTTACAATTGAAATATTTGTGAATTAAAAACAAATTAAGAAATTTAAATAATATAAAATATATCTAGATTAAATGAGTGAAAGATATAAAAATTATAACATCAAGAAATCCAAATGAAAAATAAGAAAGCAAGAAGTTAATATATATATTTGATTCGTTCTACTATTGAGATATTTAAAAAATATTTAAAAAATCAAAGTTAATAAAACATCCATTAAATTAGTGACTACATTAACCTGTCGAATGAAACTGTCCCAGTATTCCTCGTATTCTGGGATCGAGAACGTTTCTGAAGTCCCACGGTAAAGGAGTCGGACTCCTGTGAGGTGTGTACAAGTGTTTGCTATCCGCCGGTAGCTCCAGATATATCTCGGACATGTTGTCGTTGATGGCTCGCGTCAATGGTCGATAAGCAAATGCGGTACAATACGAGGTTAAGCTCGTCCTCTGGTAGAAATCTTGCACCTTTTTTCTGCAAAGGAGAAATCATCAAGACTAATACATAATAAATTATCTTTTAGGCATCAAACGCAATTTAAAAATTCTTGTACAATAGAATAATCCAGAAAATAGATTGTGTCTTGAAACGAGGTGAAAATTACAAAAATGAGTTTATTTTTATAATTATTGTAATATTTGTAACATTTATGATTTAAATTAATTGATCAATATCTAGTGAATTTTTGTAATTTTCTCTTACTTCTTTAAAATACACAATCAGTTCCATTTAGATTCCATTAATGGAATCTAAACCGAACGATATACCTATCTGATGCAGAAAGAGGGCAGAGATCGTGGCCATCCCAGTATTCGATGCATGAGTCCAGAATTATATCAGCCGTTCCTTGCGTCAACAACTGTAGACCACCACCGCTACGCTCTTTCACGACTACGGCGACCATGTGAGGAAACGGGAATTTTAACTTTGTCGCGATGCTCAGTGAACGCGCGAACTTTATGTCCCGTCTGACCATCTCTGGTTGCTGTCAAACAAATCGTTTTAGTTTGCTTTTCTAATCGATTGTGTGTTCGCTTTTAATATAAACTATTCCTCTCCAAATAATATGTTTTTAAAATGAAGACTCTTCTAAGAGTTTGACAAAAACTGATTTACAGAGAATTATTCAAATTTCAATTCAACAATTTAAATGATTGCCAAAACGTGCGATCAATTTCCAGAATTTTAGCAAAAAGTGATCTTATTATGAATTAACTCTTCTAATTGCAAATATTTTTATTTTCTCTAAAAAACTATTTGGCGATGTAACAGAGATATTGAGAGTAATCTTGAATTTTTTTTTATAATTTTTTAAAAGCTTATTCCAAGTCTCTCAATATCATTGAGAGAGTCTTTTCAATATCTCTGTTACATCGCCAAATATAATAGTTCTTTAATTCAAATGTTAAAATCTTTAAATTGAAATTTGAGCAAAAGTGAAGAAGAAATTTGATAGTGAAATTTCGTCTGTTAAAAAAAAAATCAAATTGCAAATAAAGGATTAATTGATTAAAAAAAAGTATTTTCTTAAATTTTTACATGCAAAGAATTATCAATACTCACTACATGTCTAAATGTACATAGTTGCTGTTCCAATTGGAAAATTTTCTGTGCTTGATCTTGGAAACCGATCTGCTTCGCCAGTTCGCACAGACATCTGAATACATTTCAATAATAGATTTTGCAGAAAAATCGCAATTCCTAAGAAATTGTAAATCCTATGAGAAAGAAAAAAAAAAGATTAAGGACGTACCGTCTATTTGTTACTGGGACCAAGTTCTCATTATAGAGAGCCTCGCAAGTGACGTGACAACAGAATTGCGTGTAATGTTCCTGCGTGTCCATGTTGCACGTGTTGAGGAGGATCGCCAGACCGAGCGGTTTCAACGAGTTCAGATGTTGCCGCCACGAGTGGTCGTCGAACTGCAGTCGGAACGGCAGGGCATGATCATGGGTAAGATCCAGGACCTCGGCGGTGGAGTGCGACATATCTGCGAAGCATCGGACGTTACGTTGCGCACTCGGCTTTCGTTGTCTCCCATCCTTCCTTACCATGCTGTACGTAAGACGTTCTGTTGGAGTTCACCTTGGTCTCCTCAGATTCCTGGTTCTTGTCAGTCGTCTTGTCCACACTGCCGGTACTGTAAAATAAACGGGACTGTAATCGTGTCGATACGATTCCACCGAATGATTTCACAAATTTAAGTTACGTTAAATTCCTTCATCTCAGGGGGCAAATTCACAAATTCTTGGATTTTTAGATACTCGGATTCTTATATCCCCAACTGGGTCCACGACTATAAGATGACTACCTCGAGCTCGGCGACAAAATATTGGCGTTACGTAGGAAAAATACTTTCTCCGCCGTGGGATTAGGCCATGAGAGAATTCCCTTCTTATCTACACAGCACAGCGCCTACAAAAATATATTGATAATCATTATTACTTGATTACTCAGTTTATAATTAATTTGTGCTATGATACTCACGGTTACAGAGCCCAGAACATGCAGAATGCTCGCCGATCGCGACATCATGTGCTCGTTGCCGAAAAGAATACCGAAGAAATATTCTTTAAGTTCCAGCCAGTTGTACACTACGTCCGGATGATTGGGACCATTGATTTCGGCGTCTTCAAAAGGATCTACAAACTACATTTATAAAAATTATAAATCAGTGTAACATTTTGTAATTAATAATAATTTTTAATTCATAAAAATTATAAAAATTTCTATGAATAATGTATATTATGTTACATACATACCTAAATCCTTATCATTTTTTAAATTAAATTTTAAAAATTAAGAAAGAATTTTTGTTTCCATGAATAATATATGATTATAAATTCATCATAGTTATATAATTTTGAATATCGTGTGTCAATTCGCAGGTACTCTTAATAAATAATATTCATAATCTATTCTTAATCTCAAGACTTAATCTCAAGCAAGAATGTCTTAAGATATTCTCTAATTGGTTCACATTTTTAAATTATACTTGAGATAATCTTAACTATAAAAATTATGAATACCGGCTAATTTCACTTATTCTTAGTCATAAAAAAAGACATAAAAAAGGCAAATTTAAATTAAAAATTCATAGACAAATTTAAATTTTCTGCAATAAACTCTTCATAATCTTATTTATCATTTTTTTGTCTAGATGAGAACTTTCATCATGTGAGATACACATAGAATTCTTATAATGTTACATTTCGGATAAAAT